GGTATCTAAGAGGTCTGCTTCGAATTTCGGTTCGATTCTGCTGGAGGGCAATTTTTGTCTTATTCAGAAATTCCTTGGAGCAAGGAATTTACCACACACTGATTCCGACCAGGATAGCTGAGTCAGTAAAACGTCGAACTCAGAACCATTAGGTGCCGAGTTTAAGTCTTGATCGGGTCAATCGCCCTTCTTCCTTCCGAGGTTGATAAACGGGTATTATTCTGTAGGAAAGAAAGTGGAGATGACATGCTGCAGTTCTCACGTGGCCATCGACTATACATTTAAAAAATAAGACATTCCTGGCTTATGGCATAGAACCAAGAACAGCACCGCACCATCAACTTCGTCAACAAATGACGCCTCAAGAACACAACCATGAAATAGAAGGAAGGCCGAGTTTCAAAAAATGGCAAACTCCTTTCCTTTAAAACATGGAAGCCAATTTGGCCTTACGATATATTTTTATCTACTGCAGAAAAGTGTGGCCTTTAGATCAGTCATGTTTTACATAATAGACACTAGATGGTAGAAGCAGGTGGTGGAAGCACAAACGTTAATTTTCGCGAATTATACTTTCAATCGCTTAGAGCCAAATTTGTTAATACTGTGTGATAATGGGGCAGATTTTCTTTTCGAATTGCGAATTGCTAGGTAGTGGCTTATAGTTTTTTATTCAGATTTAAATTAAGAAATTTTTAATTGGGGCAGTCTCAAACTAATTAAGTTTTACTCTGTGTATGGTACTTCCAGAATGTTAATCTGTTCATACCTGTACTAAACGAAACTGAAAGTAATTTGCTTTTCATTCGAGACTGGTAATGCGTGATTTTTGCCGCATTGCTGCGTAAGCTTCGTCCTGCGTGAAAGCCACACTATCAACTGAAACATACATGATAATTTTGAGATTTAGCTGTTTGAATTGGCTTGATAACAGTTCAGTAAAAGCGCGGTATTGAACCTAAAATAGTCTTATACTGAACCGCAAATCAGTTTCAGTTTATGCCGGTGCGGATGAGTTATCACTCAGTGGTAACTTGACACATGAAAACGTTTTCAACAGGTATGAAGTAAAGCAGCCGCTAAACCGTATGCACTTGTTTTATTGCTCCTTGTAAAGCGTAAAGGTCTGGTGTTATAGAACTGGAGCTTTCTTGGGAATTTGACGGATCAGTGTAAAATGAATGCTAAAGTACTGCAGATGTTATAGACATTAACTTTAAGAATGTCTCACATCTTCTGGCATCGTCCTATGAGTAGACCAAAATTTCAGATCAATTGCAGTTTTAGAATGTAATGTTTCTTTTATTTGAATTTTTATTTTCAGGAGTACTCAACGCCAATTGATATGTGGTCCGTCGGTTGCATTTTTGCCGAACTTTTGACGTTGAAACCGTTGTTTCCGGGCAAAAGTGAAATCGAACAGCTTAACAAAATCTTCAAGGTAAGTTTGCATTTTACCGTTTTCTTCCGCAGTTGAAACATTTGTTTCTCTCGTCAGATGCTAGGTACACCCAAAGAAACTATTTGGCCTGGTTTCAGCGAATTGCCTGGAGTGCGCAGAACGCATTTTGTCGATTATCCATATAACTCGTTAAGAAAACATTTTGGAGCAACTCTTTCTGATCGAGGATTTCAGCTCTTAAACAGGCAAGTACTGCTGAGGACACGTGATACTCATTTAAGTAAAGTGTCTGCTCCTAAAATTTGTACCATAAACAAACTCTGGCATTTAGGGTTTTCCAACGGACTGGTACTTTTCAGTACCGTCAGTAAGAAAAACATTCTGCAGTTACTTCTTTGGATGTACACGGCGTAGCCTTTATTATAGTATTTTAGTATCTGCAGGGCATGGGCGCAAAACAACGACACTTGTTTGGCCGAACAAACATTCAAACACCAGCGAATATATTTCATTCCGTATGAATATATATCAGACATTGTGTTTCTGTGTCTAAAACCGCGGACGAGTCCGATCTTGGTAAAGTGGTAGAATCGTGATTCACCGATTGCCATAAAAATGTAGCAAAATCTTAGCGAGTTATGCAAAGGCAAAAAATTTCCTCATTGCCTGAGGCCTGGCGCAGCTGTTCTAAAGTGGCTAAAATATATAACAGACTGTGTTATTACTGAACTTATTTGTCTTTTATGGATCTGAAAACACTTTTATCGCACCAACCCTGTAATCTCAGTACGTTTTGTTTTGAAAGTCAAGAAGCTAATTATTTTTTTTCATTCGATGTGTCGTTAACTGCGAATGGGTAGCATAAGGAAAATGATTCTCAGTCTTTGCTGTTTCGATTATTTTTCCAGTTTTGAACTTGTCTTTGTTCTTTAACATTTTCTTGCAGGTTTCTAACATATGATCCAAAACGTCGAATCACAGCACAAGAAGCATTGGAAGACGACTGGTTTAACGAGGAACCTCGGCCTGTGAGGCCTGAGCTTTTCCCGACTTGGCCCGCAAAATCTGAACAGTGCAAACAGGCGAGAAAAGTTTCTTCACCTAAACCGCCTTCCGGCGGTAAGCAGTACAAGAACCTGGTAAGCCTTTTTTCTGATATATAGCGTTCTAACCATTACTTTAGAACGATGCGGATAAGGATATTCTTATTGGTTTGAAGATAAAACCTGGTCAAAATGTTGCAGGGTTCAGTTTAAAGTTTGATGCTCCCAAATTTTGATTGTGTTGAAATGTTTGTGTAAATACAATTCAGTGGTGGTTGAATGCTGTGCATTATAATCTTTTGAATTGATTATAAACGGACGGACGCCGTTAATCTTTGCTTCGTTTAGGTTCGATGTATTGACACTGAAAATCGGAAAATTTTATAACCGTCAGCGGTAAACTGGTTCATTTGAACGAAACCTATTTTCAGTTTTCTGTACTTATTTACGTGATATGGTTAGACCCAAACTTTAATCTTCACCTTGCATAAACGTTTCTCCTTTCGGGTCGCACAGAGGAACACTTTAGACGGTGCATCAAGATCATGTTCTTGTGGGAGAGTCTGAGCTCTGGCAAAAGACAACTGGAGTCTAAAGCAACTCCTTCCACTTACTGCTCCAGGTTATTCTTGGCCATGGGCAAGAAGTAGTTGCTTCCCATTCCTTTGTAAAGGCATTTGCAACGCGTTCTCATGCCATCGCCCGGATTTACGTATATTCGACTAAGGTCGAAAGGTCTATTGCAAAATTTAGGCTTATGAAAGTTTCACTTCACGCAGCTACATTACTTATAAGCTGTCTAACAGCTGTCTTGCCTAAGGCAGACAGCCTTTCGGTTCATGCTTGTGTTTCAGACCTTGTTTATTCAGGGTCGCTTTTGTTTACTATTGAACACGGTCATGTATGTCTGTATGCACTTAAATAATTGTTAGTGTTTCACTGCGCTGTGGCAGAGTGTAGTCATGACAAGGAGAAGGATCGAAACTGGGAGAGTAAAACTCACTCGTGAACACAAAAATGATCCAGAGATGAAAAATATGAGTTGGCAAAGCTTAACGGTTATATGGGACGTGATATCTGGATCTTGTACCATCAATATCGAATGCAACTGAAAGATTCTGTCGTCTAAGACAACATTTGAATGGATTTTCTTCTTTAGCCACTGCTAAGTCATCTCTTCATAAAGAAGGCCGAACGGCCAAATTAAGCATACTCTCCGTTTTGTACCATTACTTGCATTAATAATTGCATACTGAAATTTTTAATCTGTGAATCCCGTGAATGGATAAAAATAAAAGGAATAGCGTGCTAATGTAATACAGTATGCTCTTGCAGTAAACACGTAAGCAATAATGTAATTGCCGAGTGGAGGAGTTAAATAAAAATGGTTTGTGAAACGAAAGTCAGTGTGTCTGTATTTTAACGTGTGGTTAATTGAGCGAATCGTTTCTCTTGAGATGCTATACCGCATCGGAGCGTCTGTAAATCAGGTGGTGACTTGTACATATCAGAAATACGCAGTTTTTTACAGTTTATTAATCATTGTTGTCTTTGTAAAATTCACAACCGACGATTTAAAGAACATTGAATAAACAACTGTCGCTGGTTTCTATTTTATATGCAAGTGTTAAGTTCAACTTTTGTTAGGCAAGGGGCGATGGTGAGACGTCAGTTCTGGGTGAGTCGTATTTTTTTCAATATGGCTGGAACTCCAGAA